GGGGGTCCCGGTGCGGGTATCAAAACCAAGGAACCACGGTTACGGTGTGGGTATAAAAAAATCAAGGAACCCGGTGTACCGGGCTGGTATCAACAATCAGGAAACCCACTGGCCCCGGTGTGGGTATCAACAATAAAGGAACCATGGGTCCCGGTGCGGGTTTTAAAACAATAAAGGGAAACCACTGGTGTCCGGTGGGGGTATCTCAAAAAACCATGGGTCCCGGTGGGGGGTATAAAAAATAAAGGGAAACCCAGGGTTGTACGGTGCTGGGTATCAAAAATCAGGAACCACTGGGTCCGGTGCTGGGTTCAACAATCAAGGAACCACTGGTGTACCGGTGCTGGGTACACAAAAAGGGAAACCCACTGGCGTACCGGTGCTGGGTATCAACAATCAAGGAACCACTGGCGTACCGGTGCTGGGTATCAACAATCAAGGAACCACTGGTGTACCGGTGCTGGGTATCAACAATCAAGGAACCACTGGTGTACCGGTGCTGGGTATCAACAATCAAGGAACCACTGGTGTACCGGTGCTGGGTATCATCAAGGAACCACTGGTGTACCGGTGCTGGGTATCAACAATCAAGGAACCACTGGTGTACCGGTGCTAGGTATCAACAATCAAGGAACCACTGGCCTACCGGTGCTGGGTATCAACAATCAAGGAACCACTGGCGTACCGGTGCTGGGTATCAACAATCAAGGAACCACTGGTGTACCGGTGCTGGGTATCAACAATCAAGGAACCACTGGCGTACCGGTGCTGGGTATCAACAATCAAGGAACCACTGGCGTACCGGTGCTGGGTATCAACATCAAGGAACACTGGTGTACGGTGGCTGGGTATCAAAAATCAAGGAACCATGGTGTACCGGTGCTGGGTATCAAAAAAATCAAGAACCCGGGTTTTGCCCGGGTGCTGGGTATCAACAATAAAGGGAAACCCACTGGTGTACCGGTGCTGGGTATCAACAATCAAGGAACCACTGGTGTACCGGTGCTGGGTATCAACAATCAAGGAACCACTGGTGTACCGGTGCTGGGTATCAACAATCAAGGAACCACTGGTGTACCGGTGCTGGGTATCAACAATCAAGGAACCACTGGCCTACCGGTGCTGGGTATCAACAATCAAGGAACCACTGGTGTACCGGTGCTGGGTATCAACAATCAAGGAACCACTGGTGTACCGGTGCTGGGTATCAACAATCAAGGAACCACTGGTGTACCGGTGCTGGGTATCAACAATCAAGGAACCACTGGTGTACCGGTGCTGGGTATCAACAATCAAGGAACCATTGATGTACCGGTGCTGGGTATCAACAATCAAGGAACCACTGGTGTACCGGTGCTGGGTATCAACAATCAAGGAACCACTGGCGTACCGGTGCTGGGTATCAACAATCAAGGAACCACTGGTGTACCGGTGCTGGGTATCAACAATCAAGGAACCACTGGTGTACCGGTGCTGGGTATCAACAATCAACCACTGGTGTACCGGTGCTGGGTATCAACAATCAAGGAACCATTGGTGTACCGGTGCTGGGTATCAACAATCAAGGAACCACTTGTGTACCGGTGCTGGGTATCAACAATCAAGGAACCACTGGCCTACCGGTGCTGGGTATCAACAATCAAGGAACCACTGGCCTACCGGTGCTGGGTATCAACAATCAAGGAACCACTGGCCTACCGGTGCTGGGTATCAACAATCAAGGAACC